TGCTTTTTGGTGAGGCAATCGGGGTTAAGAGACTTGCCCAAGGTCACACTTACTAGTTAGTAAGTTTAAGTGTCAAGTGTCTGAGGCTGGATATGAACTCAGGTCCTTTTGACTCCAAGGCTAGAGCTCTATCCACTGAGCCACCTAGCTGTCCTTCTTTAAAAAAATTTAAAGCCCCTTTAATCACTATACATATATGTACATGTGTACACATACACATACATATGTTCTTATGAACTCCTTTTAGAGTCACTTTTTTTCCTAGATAGGAACCATTTCTTTGTATTATGCCAACATCCAGATATCCGAGCCTAATTTTCTTTCATCGTCTTCTTACGTAGCTTTTCATTACCCAAATTAATTTTTTTCCCTTTCTGAATGGGGAAAACACCACCCATTTCCCTATGTGCTCCATGACGATGGTTTATAGGTTCCTTCTGATAACATTATTTGTGTCCGTGAGACATGAAGGTCTAAATTCTAAAATGAAATTTGTCTTTTAAAAATTTTCAGAGACTTTAAAAATGGGAAAATAATTTCACTTTCCTTACAATTATCAACATAATTTTCTGGACAAAGCAAAGGAGTTTCAGAAAAGCATCTACTTCTGCTTCATTGACTATGCTAAAGCCCTTGACTGTGTGGATCACAACAAAATGCTGGAGGAGTACCAGATCCTCTCACTTGTCTCCTGAGGAACTTGTATGTGAGTCAGGAAGCACCACTTAGAGCTAAACATGGAACAACTGATTGATTTAAGATTGAGAGAGTAATATGACAAGGCTATATATTGTCACTTTATTTATTTAACTTATCCACAGAGTACGTCATGCAAAATTCTAGGCTGGATGACTAAAAAGCCAAAACTGAGGTTGCAAGGAGAAATATCAACAATGTCAGATATACAAATGTTACCACTTTGCAGAAAGGGAAAATTAAGAAGCCTTTTAATGAGGGTGAAAGAGGAGAGTTTAAAAATAAGATTGAAGGTTCATACCAAAAAACTAATGTCATGTTGACCGTTTCCATTCCTTCTTGCCAAATAGAGGAAGTAGACTTCTGCTTCCACGAGCCAAGATGGTGAGGTAAAAAGGTAGTCGCTCTCACCCTCCACTATCAACCTCTGAAAACCCAGAAAATATCACCCCAGAAAAAACCCTGGAATAGCTGAACCAGAAGAAAGATGGCGTGCAGCAGTGAAGTAGCCCAGGTAGCTAGAGGGATTCATGGGAAAGGCCCCTCATACCCTGGGGGAAGGGGAGCAGTACAGAATGGGAATCGTCCAGCCAGCTAGTGGAAAGACCCACTTTAGCACACCAGGGCGAGATTCTGGCATTCTACAGCAAACAGGTCTCCCAGTGCCTCAGCAAAAATAAGGGAAGCAGCACTACAAAGGGCCCCAGGCCATTAAGCACACTGCAGCATTCATCTGAAAGGAGCTGAAGAAAACAACCTAGAGTTCTCTAAAAGTTCCAGCCTTGCTGATTCCAGCCCAACATCAGGTAAGCTGCCAGAACCCTACAGCCTCCAATTATCAACATAAGAGGCCACAGCACACGATGCCAATGACCAAGACCTAGGCTCCCAATACAAGAAGCTTGGGTCAGTGTCCTCTGCTCCCCAGCAGGAGACCTTAATCTATTTAAAAGCCAGGTAATAAAGAAACACCATGAGTAAAGAGAAATGTACAATAGTTTCATATTATGAGAAGAATGAAGATCAAGACAGAAATTCTGAAGACGACGACATTGTCAATAAACCCACATCTGCAACATCAAAAGGGAATATGAACTGGTCTGAAGCCCAAAAAAGCCTTCTTAGAAGAGCTCAAGAAGGATTTTAAAAGACAAATGAGAGAGGTAGAGGAGTCCTTCAAAAATGCAATTGACCAATTGGAAAAAAAAGTACACAGAAAAAAACAAGTTCCTAAAAAACACAATTGGCCAACTGGAAAAAAAGTACACTGAATAAAACAAATCCCTTAAAAATATAATTGGCCAATTGGAGAAGAATATACACAATCTAACAGAACAAAACCATATGTTAAAAATTAGAAGTGGACAAATGGAAACTAATGACTCTATGAGAGAGCAAGAATCAATCAAACAGAAAAAAAAAAGAAAAAATGGATGAAAATGTACAATACCTCATGAGTAAAACAACTGACCTGGAAAATCGATCCAGGAGAGACAATTTAAAAATTATTGACCTACCTGAAAATCATGATGAAAAAAACAGCCTGGACAGTATCTTTCAGGAAATCATAAAGGAAAACTGCCCTGAAGTCCTAGAACCAGAACCTAAAATAACTATAGAAAGAAGCCACCGCTCCTTGCCTGAAAGAGATCCCAAATTGAAAATGCCAAGGAATATAATAGCTAAATTCCAAAATTACCAGATTAAGGAGAAAATACTGCAAGCAGCCAGAAAGAAACAACTTAAATATCAGTCAGAATTACACAGGACAATGCAGCTTCTACATTAAAAGACCGTAGGGCATAGAACATGATATTCTGTAAAGCAAAGGAGCTTGGATTGTAGCCAGGATCAACTACCAAGCAAAAATGAGCATGACTTTTCAGGGGAGGAGATGGATTTTCAACAAAATAGGAGATTTCCAAACGTTCCTGATAAAAAGACCAGAACTGAACAAAAAATCTAATCTTCAAGTACAAGATTCAAGAGAGACATAAAAAGGAAAATGGGACAGAAAGATACAATATGTTGCTAATAAGGGCAAACTCTTTGCATCCCTACAAGGGAAGATGACACTTGCAACTCTTTAGAACTGTATTGTCATTAAACCATGTTAAAGGAGTACACATGAAGGGGGTGAATATAAGTTGACTTTGATGTAATGGTAAAAAACAATCTAATCAAGTGGGTTAAATGGATCCAAGTAAGTGGATTAGTCTGATCTAAGAAAATGTACTGAGAAAGGAGGAAGCAGACAAGGGTAAATTACATTATAGGAAAAGACACAAAAACCTATTAGAGCAGAGGTAAAAAAGGGAGGGGGATAAGCATTGTTTGAACCCTACTCCCACCTGATTTGGCTCCAAAAGGGAATAACATAAGCAATTAGATATAGAAATCTAACTTGCCCTGTAGTCAGTAGGAGAGGAAAGGGGAAAGAAAAGGGAGAGGGATAGAAGGGAGGGAAGAAGCAGTAAGGGTAAAGGGGAAGAAAAGGGAAAGAGATAATAGAAGGAAGGAGTGACTGAAGGTGGACGGTGGTCAAAAGCAAAAGACTAGTGAGGGGAGGGAAAGGAGAAAGGAGAAAAAAAGCATAAACAGGGGGAAAAGGGATGGAGAAAAAGACACAGATAGTAATCATAACTGAATGTGAATGGGATGAACTCTCCCATAAAATGGAAGTGGATAACAGAATGGATTAAAAACCATAAACCTACAGTATGTTGTTTACAGGAAACACATTTGAAAAAGAGTTACACACCCAGGGTAAAGGTAAAAGCCTGGAGCAAGATAATAACAAGTTTCATTTGGAAGAACAAAAGGTCAGGGATATCAAAGCAACTAATGAAAAGAAATGCAGGGGAACGTGGCCTAGCCATTCCAGATCTTCAATTGTATTATAAAGCAACAATCATCAAAACTGCTTGGTACTGGCTAAGAAATAGAATGGTGGATCAGTGGAATATTTAAAATATGCAAGACACAGTATTCAATGACTACAGGAATCTTATTTAATGCACACAAAGACCCCAGCTTCTGGGATATGAACTCACTCTTTGAGAAAAAGCAGCGAGGAAAACTGAAAAAGAGTATGGCAGAAACTAGAAATACACCAAAATCTCACACCGTATATCAAAATAAAGTCAAAATGGGTTCATGATTTAGATATAAAGGCTGATACTATAAGCAAACTGGGAGAGCAAGGAATAGTTTACCTGTCAGATCTGTGGAGAACAGAAGAATTTATGACCAAACAGGAGATAGAGAACATTACAAAAAGCAAAATGGATAATTTTGATTACATTAAATTGAAATTTTTTTGCACAAACAAAGCTGATGCAATTAAGATTAGAAGGAAGGTAGAAAATTGGAAAAGAATCTTTACAACCAGTCTCTCTGATAAGGGCCTCATTTCTAAAATACATAGAAAATTAAGTCAAATTTATAAGAGTAGAAGTCATTCACCAATTGGTAAATGGTCAAAGGATATGAACAGGCAGTTCTCAGAGGAAGAAATTAAAGCCATCTATAGTCATATGAAAAAATGCTCTAAATCACTATTGATTAGAGAAATGCAAATCAAAACAACTCTGAGATACCACATCACACCTATCAGATTGACCAACATGACAAAACAGGAAAGTGATAAATGTTGGGGAAGATGTGGCAAAATTGGAGCACTAATGCATTGTTGGTGGAGTTGTGAAATGATCCAACCATTTTGGAGAGCAATTTGGAACTATGCCCAAAGGGCTATAAAAATGTGCATACCCTTTGACCCAGAAATAGCACTTCTAGGGCTATATCCCAAAGAAATCATACAAATGGGAAAGGGACCCATATGTTAAAAAATGTTCATAGCAGCGCTTTTTGTGGTGGCAAAGAATTGGAAATTGAGAGGATGCGCATCAAATGGGGAATGGCTGAGCAAGTTGTGGTATATGAATGTGATGGAATACTATTGTGCTATAAGAAATGATGAACAGGCTGACTTCAGAAAAACCTCAAAAGACTTGTATGGTCTGATGCTGAGTGAAGTGAGCAGAACCAGGAGAACATTGTACACAATAACAGCCACGTTGTGTGATGACTAATATTGATAAACATAACACTTCCTGGCAATACAAGAATCTAAGACATTTCCAGAGGCCTTGTGATGGAAAATGCTATCGACATCCAAAGAAAGAACTATGGAAGTTGAATTGCTATTTTTTTCTCTTCGGTTGAGTTTTGTTTCCTCTTTCTGATGGTTCCTCCTATTGGTTTTAATTTTTACTTACAACATTGTGAGGGACTGTCTGGTGCTAGCTAGTGCCAGGTGAGGTTGTGCCAACATTGTACGGGAACTGGGTATTAGGAAGTAACTGGAGCTCTTGCTCCCGAGGCAGAGGTGGTGCTGGGCGGAGTTGTGGCGTACTGGGATGGGATCTGGATTCGGAGAGGTAACCGGAGCTCACGCTCCTGAGACTGGAGTGGTGCTGGGTGGAGCTGTGACAGGCTGGGGAGGAAGCAGGGTACAGGGCAGTGGCCGGAGCGCGTGCTCCTGAGGCAGGGACTGTGCCGCTTGGAGGGGGATGGCAGAGAACGAGCTCTCTCTGTCTAGCCTCCTTCTTTAGGTACTACGCTGACCCCAGACGCCTCCTTCCTGTGACCAAACCTGACTTCCTGAGTCACGCATGTTCCCCAGGTGTAGCACTGACCCCAGACACCTCCCCCCGGTATCTGGTCCCAACTTCCTGCGTCACGTACATTCTCCTTTGTCTATACACTGATCCCTCACGCCTCCTTCCAGATATCTAGGTCCCACTTCCTGTGCCACGTATGCTCCCTTTGTCTGGACGCTAGCGCTGGACATCCCCTTTTGATATTTGATTCTCGACGAGTCGCTATGGGCGGGCTGAGGAGGAGGGACAAAGAAGGTACTAAAAGGAACTGCAGGGATGGGGGGCGGGTCGGCTTTTGCTCCTGCTCGTTCGCGTGTGCCTTCCTGCCTGGCCTTGCTGTGATGACCATTGAATAAAGTTCAGGTTTTGCACCCCCTGGTCGGCTCATCTCTGGTAATTCTGGGTGGCCGCGGATGATTGGTGAGTATGACCCTGGTTGGCTGATTTGGCTGAAAGAGAGTGCGCGGTTTGGACCGGCACACAACATCACTAATGTGAAAATATGTTTAATAGGAATGTAAATATATAGCCTATATCAGATTGTGCGTGGTTTTGGGGAGGGTGGTGGGGAAGAAGGGGGAGAAAAATTTTAAACTCAAAAGCATATGGAAATGATTATTGATAAATCAGAATAAATTAATAAAAATAAACAAATAGAGGAAGAAGTGGAAGCAGTGTCAGATTTTATATTCTTGGACTCAAATATCACTGCAGATAGTGACTTCAGTCATGCAATTAAAAGAAGTTTGCTCCTTGGAAGGAAAGTTAGGGCAAATCTTAACAGCATCTTAAAAAGCAGAGACTTCACCTTGCTCATGAAGATCCATGTAATTAAAGCTATGGTTTTTCTAGTAGAAATGCATGGCTTTGAGACTTGGATTGTAAGGAAAACTGAGAACCACAGAATTGATACTTTTGAATTGTGGTACTGGAGAAGACTTTTGAGAGTCCTTTGGAAAGCCAGGATATCAAATCAGTTAATACTTAAAGAAATTAACTCAGACTATTCATTGTACTGATAAATATGTTAATTTATACTATTCATTGGAACAACAAATACTGATGCTGGAGCTTAAATATTTTGGCCACATAATGAATAGACCTTGATGTTGGGAAAGATTCACTAAAGAGTGAACAACAAACATTCTTGCTTTTGCTTTGTCTAAGATGATAATCACTACCCCTGCCTATTTTGCCTCAACTGAAGCATAAGAGATTATGCTCCAGCCCCTTATTTTAACTCTGTGTATGTCTCTTTTTTCCAAGTGTATTTCTTCTAAACAACATATTGTTGGATTCTGTTTTTTAAAAATCTATTTTGCTATCTGCTTCCATTTTATAATGAATTCCTCTTATTCACTTTCACAGTTATAATTAGCAACTGAATTTCTCTCCATCCTATTTTCTTTTGTTTATCCTTCTGTCTCTTCTTATCCTGTTCCTCCTTTAATGTCTGTTGTGCTTCCGACCAGTACCTTCCTTTATCCACCCTCTCTTTCATCACTTCCATTTCCTTTCTCTTACTCCCTTTCCCTCCTACTTCCAAGTTGAGTAAGATAAATTTCCATACCCTATTAAGGATGTGTAGATGTGTGTATTTTTCCCCTCTTTGAACCAAGAGAGTGAGGTTCAAGAATTTTCTCCCACCTCAATGTCCCCCTCCATTTTAAAAGCTCTTCCTTTTGTGTCTCTTTTACTGAGATAATTTTCCTCATTCTACCTCTTCCTTTCTCCTCCTCCCATGCCATTCTGCTTTCTCTCCTATCCATTTTTTTATATCATCCCAACACAATCAACTCACTTCTGCCTCCTCTGTCTATGTTGAATCCTTCTAACTTCCCTAAAAGTAATAAGTTCATAGAAGTTTCATGTATCATCTTCTCATATTGCAATGTAAACAGTTTAACTTTATTGAGTTCCTTATGATTTCTCTTTCATGTTTACTTTTTTATGCATCATTTGCATCTTGTTTGAATGTAAAATTTTGTATTCAGCTATAGTCTTTTCACCAGGAATGTTTCAAAATCCTCTATTTCATTAACTATCCAATTTCTCTTGAAGTATTTTACTCAGTTTTGCTGGGTTGGTGATTCTTGGTTGTAACCCCAACTCTCTTGCCTTCTGTAATATCGTATTCTAAGCTTTCCACTCCTTCAACATGAAAGGTACTAAGTCTTCTGTGATCCTGAGTGTGACTCCATGATATTTGAATTGTTTCTTTCTGGCTGCTTGCAGTATTTTCTCTTTGACCTGTAAAGCCTGGAATTTGGCTGTCATATTTCTGGGAATCTTCATTTTGGGCTCTCTCAGGTGGTTACCAGTGGATTTTTTTTTTCAATTTCTGTTTTACCCTATGCTTTTAGGGTACTGAGGCAGTGTACTTTTGTACTTTCTTGAAATATGAAGTCTATGCTCTTTCTTTGATCACAATTTCCAGGTAGTACAATAATCTTAAATTAATTCTCCTCAATCTATTTTCTAGGTCAGTTGTTTTCTGATAAGTTATTGCACCTTTTCTTCTGCTTTTTTCATTCTTTTGACTTTGTTTTTTTTTTGTTTCTTGATGTCTCATTGAGTCATCAGCTTGCAGCCACTCCATTCTAATTTCTAAGGAATTATTCTCATCAGTGAAGTTTGTACTACCTTTTCCATTTGACCTACTGTTTTCTAAGGTGTTTTCTTCAATATTTCTGTGACTGCAATGAGAGAGAATCTCGGTCCAGCTCCAGTTCCAGCGTAGCCCTCGGCAGCAGTTGCTTCTGGAGCTTGACCCACAGATTAAGGGGGAATTTAGTGGCTGATCAGAGGGGGATTGCAGGTATCTCTTTGCTGGTGCTGAGCCAAGATTCTCTTGCTTCACCTGTGCTTGCATCTGGGTCATAGTTCTGGGTGGCTGTCCTGGGGCAAGGAGTAGTCCTGGCATGGTGGAGCTTTTGGTGGCAGTGGAGAAAGAATCCTCCTCACAGTTCTAAGGCCAAAAACAGTGCTTGTGGTCACTCACAGAGCAGAGCACAGTCCAGGAAAGGAGTCAACACCTCACTCTTGGTCATACTACCCTGGAAGAATGGAAAATTTACAGGTGCCTAGAAGTATCTCTGAAAACAGCTGCACAAAACCCCCCAAAGGTTGGGACAGTACATTCTCCACACTGGAAGCAGACTCCCACCTTAAAGAAGAGTTTAAAACTCAAGTAATTGGCTAGAATTATGAACAAACTGTGCAAAAAATTCAGACCATAGAATCTTACTTTGGTGACAAAGAACATGAAAACATATGACCAGAAGAAGACAACAAAGTCAAAGTTGCTACATCCAAAGCCTCCAAGAAAAATATGATTTGGTCCCAGGTCATGGAAGAGCTCAAAAAGGATTTTGAGAAGCAAGTAAGAGAAGAAGAGGAAAAACTGTGAAGAGAAATGAGAGTGATGCAAGAAAATCATGAAAAACAAGTCAATAGCTTGCTAAAGGAGACCCCCCCAAAATACTGAAGAAAACAAATGGTTATTATGGACTTACTATACACTGGATGCTGTGCTATACTCTAGGTCTACAAGTATTAAATGGCACAGTCTCTACTCACAAGGAAGATAAAGGAGATACAAAATATGTGTATAAGTATAGTGTTGCTATTGCTTTTTATTCTTCATTTACAAAGAGGACCAATGATATCTCAGGTGATGGCTTGCACATAAAGTGGATTTAAGTGAGGCAGAGTTTGCACAAATTCTTCGGCTTCACTCTTCCTTCTAGAGTCATGGAAGTTCAGTGGCAGGACAAAAGCCAAAGTGACTTGTGTTGGCCTAGGATATAGTAGATAACCTTAAGCTTGAAGCTTAAAGCTTAAAGCACACCACAGTGCCTGCTCCTGCCACTTTCATGACTACTGGAACAAATTGTTCTCATCTGCCCATTCTGCTGGGGAAAGTCTTCACATGCTTGAACAGCATAAACATAAAGGAAATAAATCAAGTGTATACAAATGGTTACATGCCAGGTTGTTTGTGGTGGGAGGCAGTAGCATACAGGGATCAGGAAAAACTTTGTTTAGAAGATGGTGCTTTGGGCCCATCTAAAAGGAAGAGAAAGGAATCTGAGACATAGATAAGTGGAGAGTGCATTTAAGGTATGTGGAATGGCCACTACAAAGACAGTTCTGTTGTATCATCAAATATGAGAAGGTTGATAATGTCCAATGAGCCTAGAAATATTTGTCAAGGCTGGGTCTTTCATGAAGTGCTTCCAAAACTGAATAGAGGTGTTTACATTTTTGATCCATGAGGTAATAGGAAGCTATTAAAGTTTATTGAGTAGAGAATTACATGGTCATATTTGTGCATAAGTAAAATTTATTTGACAGTCCTGTGTAGGATGTCCTGGAGTGGTGAGACTCTTGAGTTAGGGAGCCAGGTAGTAGGCTGTTGTAGTAATCTAGGCCAAGGTAGTGAGGATCTGAACTAAGGTGATAGCTGTGTGAGTAGAGAGAAGGGGTTGGATTCAAGAGTTTAGTGGAGGTAGAAGATTTGGCAACAGATTCTGTAGGCAGCCTGAGACAGAAAAGTGCTCTGAAAAAAGACAAGTGTCTTCATGTGTCAGATAAGTCAAACTGCTACCCCTGAGACATGGATGGAGATGGTCCCAGACCTTGAGTCCAAGAGCCCTGGAAATTATATGAACCACTAAACCCTCATCCCTGCTTCTAGCCCATTTTGTACTGCTGCCCTTCACAGAATAGTCCTTGTGGAGATGAGATGTGGCAACTGCTTAAGCAGAAGCTATAACACCTGCTTCCTTAGGAGGCATAGCTACAGATGAAAAGAAAGCCTTTGGTATAGCCGAAGGTACAATGTTAGAAATGAATATGCTTTCATCGGTGGAAATAACATTAAAGAAGACCCCTTACCATCTTTGCTCTTGTGCTGTAAGGACTACCGAGCCTTTCCTTTCCTTGTAGCTAAAGCCTCCTATTATGTGTTAGATTATGAGTTCCTGGAGAAGAGGGAGTGTTTTGTTTTTCTATTTGCATTTCATTGCTTAGAATAGTGCTTTGCACGTAGTAAACTCTTAGCAAACGCTTCCCCCCAACACTGTAATTGATTGTAGCTGAGGAATCTACCATACTGCTGTAGTTACTAACTTGAGAGACTGGGATGATCATGGTGATTTTGACAGAAACAGATAGTGAAGTGTGGCAGTGAAGATGGTTTGGAGGTTATGTTGAATTTGAGATGTGTGCAATACATCCACTTTTGGAAGGTCCAAAGGATCATTGCTGGTCTGGTACTGAAATTAAATGGTGAAACTAGGATTTTTTTTCTGTCTGTCTATCTATATTCTTTCTTTCTATCTATCTATCTATCTATTTATCTATCTATCTATCTGTCTGTCTATCTACCTTTTACCTATCTATTGATATTAATATACATAAATGAATGTATCTATCTTTTATTGAT